CACGTTTTTTTATGACAATTACTGCTTGGATTTTGCAAGGTCTTTCATTCTATTCACTTGTTTAAATTGCCAAAAACATTTTAGAGGGGCTGGTTCCTACGAGGCCGGCTTGTGGCTCTGTATCTGAACGCTTCAGTTCTTTAGAGTATTATTAGGTCAATGTCACTTTGCTTTGGCCCCACAAACATTTATATTTGTAGATAACAAAAATCTACACGTTCTAACAGTTTTATTACTGAATTACAATGAATTGTGTAGCACACATATTATATGCATTTATATGTGTAGAAAGATGTTTCCAGTTCGTTTCATTTTGTGAACTTAAGTGATTTGTCTGCAATTTTTAATGCATCTTATAAAGCAGTCGACCAAAGAAATAATAAAATATAGATTTGAGACAAACAAAACCAAGTAGTTAAACGCTTCACCCACAGGATTATTTGTAAATTTAATGTTTACATATAATTTGATGTAAACCTAGCACTAAAGATGTCTGCAAAATACAGTTAGTGATATGTAGCACTGTAGTTGTAAAGAAATTAAATGTGTAAAGAGTGCTTGACTTTAGGTCACCGTATTAACAGAAAAACATTTGATTTAGTCATGTTTCTATTACCAGAGCTTGATGCTAAATACTATAGTTCTTACAGTTAACTTGAGTTATAAGTGATGTATCTGTTGCAAATAGCCTTTTTCACAATCTCAGATAAAATCATTTCATTCTGACCGGAACAGCAAACTGATGTCTGACACCAAAGTGGTGCTGTCGTCTAAAAAAAAACCTCCAATCTCCAAAATATCAGAATTATTCATATCTGAACTTTATTTAGAAAACGTTAACGTCACCAACAATTTTACAATATTTTGTTATTTTAGCAAGAAATAGTATATTACTGCAGGAAGTGGTCCATGTTGCACCGTTCCTGCTTATCTAGCTGCTGCTGCTATTGCAGTGTCATGAAGAGATGTACATTTTTTCCATATCAATGGTTAATAATGTGTCCTTTAAAATAAAATAAAAATAGTAACCAAAATTTGTGAACAGTTGCTAATTATCTTAGTGTTTGTTTACCTACAAAAAAAAAGTTTGCACACGCAATCATCCAGGTAGATAACAAAAGGTTAAATCACGTCATCTGGACCAGATCTGGTTGACAGGCCACAGACTGATGAAGTCTTCTGGATGGAAGACAAAACGTTTCTCCCTTAAAAAAACTGGTCCAGATGACATGATTGAACCTTTTTTAAATTTTATTACCTATGAAAACAACCACAAGTCACTGAAAATAGACCAGCAATGTTGACGTCCAGGGAAGTGGTTTGTGATGGACAGCCTTGACTGTTTTCATGCATAAGTAGATTCACACTCAGATTTCTTGATGACAAAAAGTTTAAAGGGTTTTCTTACTCGTTTTTTTTTTTT